TTCAGAATTTCAGCCAACATTTCATGAGATAGGTCACGCACTGTAACTGGGTGTGGGCCAAAGCACCCGCAGGATCTGAGTGTCTGCCAACACCATGCTAGGTGACACTGCCCCCGCGAACTCGTGTAACTGCAAAAGTTTGAGCTCTGTGACGTCAAATAGGGCGTTCACAAAGGATCATCCAGGCAGTGGTAGACAGGCACCTCCATCATCGGTGATAAAAGAAAATCCTCTTGGGCTGTGACAGCTGACTATATAGCAGCCCGGCGAGCGTTCGCACACCGATATCGCCTTTGATCCACCCAGCAGACCGCATCAGAGTGCGGAGTGGATCACATGCTTGCTTCAGGAGTTACGCAGTGTTAGTGACGGAGAGGCATCGTGAATGTGCATTTTGTGAAACAGGTTCGTGTGAGCAGAGACGTTGTGTTGGGATCTGAGTTATGTTACTTTACTAGAGATTTTCACGGAGTAGCACATGGCCGAATGTACTAAGACGTTGATTTGCGATCTTAGCTGCATGGATTCTCAAGTGATGGGTGATGACGATGTTGATAATGAGGAGGCGGCGGCGGTGGCGGCGGCGGCGTTGTCCAAGAGTAATAATAAAAAAAAATTGCAGAGAGCAATTTTTAAACAACAACAGATTTTAAATGAACCGCCACCACAAGTTTACTTTCAGCCAGGTCAAGGAAATCTCAAACAGTGGGTGCGGCGAATAGCAAGTGATGTTTGCGGTCACAGGGAATTTTGATGTCGGGATTGCCAGTTACAGTAGGTGGGCTAACCCATGAAATGTCAGCCGAAATTCTGAAATGCGTCTTCGTTTCGAAAAGATGAATTAAGTAGAGTTGTAAAACTAGTCAGGCTACAACATAATTCTATAAGATGCCGGCTTCCGAATGAACTTTCTTCCACCTGCAGGCAAAAACTCCACTCTGTAAAAACGGACTACTTAAGTAGCACGTATTTTTCTCATTGGTTTCCGATGCCCCTCAAAGTCACAGGGAATTTTAATTTAAATATCGGGTTTGTCAGATAAGTGCGGTCCCACACCTTACTGTTACCTTGTTGTTTAGAACTAAAATTTTTAAAGGAAAGCAGAAATTCCGAAAACGTTAAAATTCGTTCTGACTAAGCCAACTGAAGCTTTTGGTGTACAAAAGGCCTGCCCATACAAAGAGCCATGTAAATAAAAAGCACACTCGGAGCAAAGTCTTTAGATAGTCTTTTAGTGGAGTTTGGACTTTTAAGTACGGCGGCTAGCCAACGATCCAGAGTTAGAGTTTAGATTCCAAATTAGTTTCACAAGGATGCGTTTCGACTTTCTCGCTTTTGCGCTGTTTGAGCCGCCGTTGGCAAAAGCCAACAGAAATCCGCTTGGTTTCGCCGATAAGAAAGTCTCAGAAAAAAAGTTTTCATCAGTTCACACATTGCTAGTTCGGTCAGTGGCTAATGAATTTGAATTGAATTGTCGGGGGCAATTACAAGCACGGCCATCTGTGTGTACTAGGAGGACCTTCATCGCGTCAAATTTACTTATAGTCTTTCTTGTTTTGGAGTACGTTGGGTTTCAGGACTTACTCGAAATATCAGTGAATATTTCATGATTTTTGGTATTTTAAAAGGACCGCCGATCAAGGTAGACTCTGTGTTATGTGTCTATCAAAACCTTAGAAATAAGATAATTCTTGAAAGCAATTACCGAATAAGTGGATATTCTTCCTAATGGAAACGGCTGTTTGGTGATGTCTTTAGACTTACCTAAACCTGGAACCTCATCAACGATAAAGACGAATTTTGGATGGTATTACCAACAAAGACGAGGGAGACTGGAATATCCATTTCTGCCTATATCATGCACCGCTGTGCGGCTGCTAGTTGGACTTGAGAGAGAGTCCTCAGACAACGGAAGGAGTGAGTTCCGTAGGAACGATCGGTGAGTGCCCATCTACCATTGTGTATTCCCGATCGAAGCCGACAGGGCAACGGACTCGTGGCCCAGTTGTTAGAGGCGTGGACTTCTAACTAACATGTGGCGAGTTCGAGCCTCGGGTGTTCCACACTTCGGGGTTGGGTATGACTGGCTGACGCCTACTAATGAGCCAGAAATGGCCATTCCGGTCTGCCTTGTCTTTGTCGGTAATGCCATTTTACCTATATCACGCGCCGCTGTGTGGCTGCTGGTTAGACTCGAGAGATAGTCAGTAAGGCACAACGGGACGAGCGAGTTCCGTAGAAATGATCGGTGGGCGCCCCTCTACCAAAGACGAATGTCCAAAAAGAAAACCTACACTGAATATGCCCCGGAATGATTTAAAAACTTCTCCAATACGTTATCTCTTTAAAAAGCGCCCTGATAATGTAGTTTACTGGGAGATGTCTAGGTAATCTACCTTTTTTCAAGACAAATGCAAAGTAAGAATTGGAACTTTGGGGGCTTTTTCACTTCTTCGAAAAGTAGTGGTAATTCTCTTTCTGCAATCGAAAGAACCAACTTTTCTGCCTACACCGGACTCATTGTCATTATATTTGCTTATATCAGGGCTCCGTTCTAGGCTGGAGATAGCTGTCCCGCTTTAGAAGTGGACGCGATCGCTTGAGCAAGAGATTTATTCACCTGACGTTTCGGGTTCATGCTCTATCCCATTATCAAAAACAGCATCAGGTGCTGGTGATTTATGCTAAAGGGGTTACAGAATGCAGTTATCAATACATACGTAAATGAGGTAAGAGACTCAATTCAGCCAGCTGCAAATTTTGGCGAACGCTGCTATACGTGGAGATTGTCTCAGAAGCCCCTATTCGCTCCTCACACCACTTGGAGTTCCAGCTGCACACACCGGAGACAACAATCAGACCCCACTTCACGAGGCCGAAAGACCCACTGCCACGACGGAAAACGTTTGAAGTCTTTTATAGGATCGGATGCAGTTTCAGGCGGATCCACTACATCGGAGAATCTGAAAACTTATGCCGAACGGAATGTCCGAACATGCAACAGCAGTGAGGAGGAATGACTCTAACTCTCAAACCGCGGCTCATTCAACGGAGCCTGGCAACACTGTCTAGTCTGACAAGCCCGTGAGTCACACGCTGCTACAGTCATGGTTCTGCGGCCCGTATTCAATAAACAAACGCAATGATTTTTCGCCTCCGAATGCTATCTTCTGCTGTCGGTGTTTCTTACGTCATCTTAGTCTAAATAATCATATGACGAAATTGCAAAATGGTCATGCGATTTGCTGGTCGAATTCTGCAGGATTTTGTTTATCCTCTCACCCCATGCGCCGTGGCTGTCGACGTATCTCTCGCTGTACCTTGGCATATGAGCATTCTGTATTGCCATTTCCAGCACGCTATCTCGCGAGTGGAGAGATAGAAGTACAGAGGCTAAGACTTAAAGCGACCCCATAATAGTCGTTCCTTTTTGTGTAAACCTTTCTAATACTTGCGCAATCAGTCAACTTACATTCTGTCCACAGTTAATGGAGTTCATTTTTGCTGAAAATTTTGAATATATGCTTTCAAAATAAAGCACATCTCTCTTTCTCTCTCTCTTTTAGTTTGTGCTGGGACTTTGCTTGCGCCAAAATAATTAGCCACGCGAGGAGATTTCGGGTGATCAACAGTTGTGGTGACAGTGACCCAAACTGCCCAGTAATCGTCATGCCGAGAAACAAAACCGATGATTTAATCACAGCAAATGAAGACTCTGGTAGGGACCAACAAGAAATCGTAGCATCAAATACGCTTCCCAGCGATAAACTGCGCCCTATAAATAATGCGTACCTTGTGCCTCTATCATCCTTTTTTACGACTGCCTATGACGACCGGCTAGAGAGTGAGAGAGAGAGAGAGAGTCAGAAACGTCAGGCGAGTAAACTTCTGGGAGTCCATTCGAGGAAACGCATTCTGACACGAACTGCATTATCCTCACCGCTCGTAAGTTCTGCGTGAAGGCTAACACTGGGCGCACCAAGGCATCACCCGACACTTCCACATTCCATACTGGTTAAAGACTTTAGCCAGCCAATTGTGCTACCTGTCTCGGCTTTCTCTCAGGGAAGTTAGACCGTCTTACACGGCTTGCGAGCAGCTTTTTCTTTCGGCTCGGCAGATAGGCAGGACAAAAGTGTCAAAACCCGAAGCAGCAGTCACTGTCACCCTGCTCTACGACTGTGCATGATGGTTGCGAAAGGTCTACTTGCCTACAGAGATGGGAAGCGTTGCACAACCGCTGCCTCTGAGGAATGCTGTTACGTCGACTCACGGACGGATAAGGCCATGAGAGTGAGACTTCCTCGCTGTGACTATGTGCTCGCCAAATGGATAATGGTTGCGAAATGCCTACTTAGTAATCGCAATATAGGAACTACACAGATTTTCGATACTATGGACCCCGCTGCCGGTGAAACTAGTGCTGACATTATTCGACAAATCTCAAGACTTCACTGGTCTACTTCCTTTACAGAAGGCGCAAACAACATCAAATCAACCAAACCAGATTTGAGAAACGTATCCGAGTAAATATCCAGGTTGAGCGTGGGTACCAGAACCTAGAAACCAGAGCACGCCAGTAACTAATACCGGTTCCCCTACTAAGAAACAGTGCATCTCCATTTTATGCAGATGAAAAGACTAGCTAAATTAAACTAAAATAAATGTGGTAAATTCTACACTGGTCTAAGCACACGCTGAGTGCAAGGCGGCAGAAAAGTGCATCGACAATTGTCTGCATCGAATGGCGCATCAGCTATTTGACACGATACGTGCCAGTGTAGACTGCAAGAGTGGTAAAGCATGGCAGCAGTACTCAAACCCCTAGGCCAAAACCAATTAGACGCCTTCGAAAGAGCAATACACAGTTATCTCACCTTCCCGAGGCACTTAAAGGTGGTGCAGGACGGCTGCCCGTGGCAAACAAAATCGAAAAACACACACAGAGGTGTGCTCGTGCACAGTGGAAGATTTATTAAATTTGAAGAGGAATGAAGACTTTACTCATTGATCCAGATTGCCGAACCACCGTCCAGTATCATCGCCAGCTGGACGCTAGAATTGTTAACAACTTTGCTCTGTCTGAGGGTAGACCCATCCTGGAGGGTTCTGCCCTCACAAGTAAGCACCTGGTCCCTCACCGCGACACCCTCAAGTTCATGGACCTTTTCTTTTAACTGTAGAACAGTAGAATTGCTGCTCGATCTTACAACCTTTGTCTGACCCTGGATATTCCGGAGGAGGATCTGGATTTCGTCAAGCACCCGTCTCCGTACCGTCACAACTGGCTCCTGCAAGAACTCCTTCTTCAGAAGAAGGTTCTCGCCTTCGCCAAGCACCTTTCCTTTATATATGAGATCCTGTTCCTTGGCATGTATCCGCGTCGCCACCTCTATTTGTTTAGACAGCTCCTGCATGGAGTTGGGACTGCGTGGATTTATGGGGAGCCGCAATCTATTACCGGTCTCGTTGATTACCACCTCCACCGGCAACATGTTAGTTGCACCTTCTTCATTCTGAACGACGCTGGAGGATTGCGGTCGATGAACGAAAACTACGGAATCCGCTGGGATTTGGTATTCCTTGAGGAGACGATGATCCTCCATTTGCCGCCCCGAATGAATCAGACACTGTGAGCTTGGTGGTACACCCTGCTGCTGTGCTAACTTCCTGTTCAAGTCTCCAACTGTCATACCTGGCTCCACATTCACAACGACCCTGCTCCTGTCTGGCAGCACCACACTAACGGTTTTAAAACGGGCATTGAGGATCTCAGGTCCTGCTTCCTTGACGTCTAATGACGCTGTTCTCGATGTCTTTACATGTTTCTGATCGTGTTCTTTCAACTGATCAGTAGTGAGGCACACAGTTTCAAGGGGTAGTTCTTTGCTATCTTTACTCTGGCAAGGGGCAGTCACACTCTGCATGGACTTAGTGCTGCGGGGATTTATGGGAAGGCATAGTCCATTACTGTTCTTGTTGTTTACCGCCTCCACTGGCAACATGCTTGTTGCGTCTCCTTTACTCTGAATGACGCTGGAGGATTGCGGTCGATGAACGAAAACTACGGAATCCGCTGGGATTTGGTATTCCTTGAGGAGACGATGATCCTCCATTTGCCGCCCCGAGTAAATTAGACACTGTGAGCTTGGTGGTACACCCTGCTGCTGTGCTAACTTCCTGTTCAAGTCTCCAACTGTCATACCGGGCTCCACATTCACAACGACCCTGCTCCTGTCTGGCAGCACCACACTAACGGTTTGAAGACCGGCAGTTAAGACCCCAGATCCTGCTTCCTTGGCGTCTGCTGAGGGTGCTGGCAATGTCTCTGGGCGTTCGTGTAGGTAGATGGTATCGCTCTTCTGCACCTTGTAGTCCTCAAGCGTTTTAGATGGATCCAATGTACGTCCAGAGTGAATGAAAATGCAAGTTCCATTGGGCATTTTGTCGAAGCTCTTGATCCTCTCTTCAAGTTCGCGCACAGTCCTATCAGGGGCGAAACTGATGGTAAGGGGCTCATTGTTCGGTAACATTACAGTTATGGGGATGGTTTGGCTGATAGTACCAGCAGCGGCGGCGCCGGAGGCGGCAGCGGCGCTGGCTGCGCTAGGAGCATCAGTCTGGACCTCCGGCTGACTGTCGCTTTGGTCTGGGAGGTGCTCTTGATTGCGAACTCCAGTCGTGTTGACATTCTCAGTCTCGGGTCCGGTTTCTATCATCAGATTACAAGACGGTCTGTTATAATCTTTGCTACGTCTGGAGACATTCACATCCTGGAGGGCTTTGCCCGCAGCAGCTTGTTTTGGGTTCTTAGCCAGGTCTCCTGCCGATTCCTGAGCATTTTCTTTCAACTGATCAGGAGTGAAGCACATAGTTTCAAGGGGAGATTGTTTGCTATCATTTCTTTGGTCGAGGGGAGTCACATCCTGCATCTGCTTGCCTTTACCATGCTGTTCTGGATCCTTCTCCAGGTCTTCTGCCAATTTCTGAGCGTTTTCTTTCAACTGATCAGGCGTGAAGCCCACAGTTTCAACGGGCAATTCTTTGCCATCTTTGCTCTGGTCGAGGGGAGCCACTTCCTGGAGCTGCTTGCCTTTACAATGCTGGTCTGAGTTCTTCTCCAGTTTTCCTGCAGTTTTCTTTTTCTTTCCTATGGACTGGCGAATATTTGAGCGCCTATTTTGAACAGATGGTTCTTTCCCTTCTAGGCTCTGGTTGAGGGAACTAATTTCCTGGGGCTGTTTGCCCTTATTTTGTTCTTCTGAATTCTTTTCCAGGTCTCCTGCAATTTTCTGCGTCCTTTCTTTGGACTGAGAAGAACCGGAAGGCGTAGTATTAATAGGTGGTTCTTTACCATCTTTGTTCTCGCTGGGAGTACTCACACCCTGGAAGGCTTTGCACTCACCGGGTAGTTCTGCATTCTTCACGATGTCTCCTGCCGGTTCCTGAGGGTTTTCCTTCAGATGACGAGTGCAGACATTCCCCCGCCTTCTCGCAGTCTTTCGCTGGAGCCGTTTATCCGGATAGGTTGTTTTATTGGCGTCACGCCTCGGTGTCTTCACATCCACCACCGACTTCTTCAGGTTACTTTTCTGAACCGGTCCAGACGGAGTTCCTTTATAGGGGAGTTTCTGTTGCCTAGCGGGAATATGCGGCCTTTTCTCGATTTCTTCTGACCGGTTGTTCATAAGGTTACTGCTGCCGAGATTTACGGCAATGAGTAGTCGAGTAGCGGTTTTGTTGACAACCACCTACACCAACGTCTCATGCATCTCCTCTCCGTCACAGTCGGTGTAGTTTTGTAACCAATCAGGTTACAGGAAGCCTATCTTACACGGGCACTCTGCAGATGGCATTGGCCGATAAGTATGCCAGTGGCGGATTGGTTAAACTTATCTCCTGTTAATCAATTTACATCTGCTCGAGTCCAAGGTCAGGAAAGCCTCCGACGCCTCGCTATTGTGAGGGCCTATTCACGGCGCATGACTGGGGTGCCTTCAATCACCCTAAAGAACATTCTTCCAACAAGAAAATTTCACCTATGGAGCTGTCGAGTTTGGTTATTTTGGGGAGTTTGTGTGGTAGTTTTAGCTGGTCGAGCTTCTTTTTTAGTACTTTACACCGCCGTAGTTCGAAAACTCGTTTATCCGTAAGAATTAGCCGGGGGAGGAGGAGGAGGCGTAGTATGTTCTGATTTTGCGAATTATAAAGAGCCTTGACAAAAGGGTCATTCGAACACCATGGTACAGGTCGCCTAGCCGTAAGCTTTTCTGGAGGAACTCCTACTCACCTACTATTGTGAGCGGCTGCTTTGGTGGATCACATGGGGGAGAGGCTGCTCTTTGAGCTGTTTATGCTTTCTTTCTCCTTTCTTCCCTCTGCCTGCCACAATAAAGCCCTCTCTGACAGTAATGTCTTAGCTAATAGATGCGAGGAGGCGAGTTCCAGGAAGTAGTGGCGGAGAAGGTGACACGATTGCTGGAACAAGTGCTATATTAACCTGACATCTTGGATTCCCACTCGAATCCGTCAGCAGAGACAGAGTCAGACAAGGGTAGTGGATTGCCCATGTGTTGCAACATTTAGAGGATGTAGAGGCTAGGCCGCTACATGCCTATGACGTTTGGCAGGTCACGAGGGCATCACAGTTCGACTGCCCCGAAATTGAAGTATGTCGTTGTCATACAGTTGCTATGCTTCTGTATGCCGGTCAGGATTATCGGCTCCCACGCTCATCGCACGTCGTCGAGAGGCTGGCTACCGGATTTTTGCCATCCATGTGGACTCTGGGTGACTTGGCTCGCCGATACTGATACCGGGGCAGTGGTTATTCGCCCGCTCTCCTCCCGACTAACTACTTGGCCCAGGCCAAGTCTCGGTGCCGAATATGGAGTGAGGAGATCGTTGCGCTTGCTTATAGATCGGGGACCGGAAAAGCATGACTCGGGCAATTTGCGCCTCATGCGGTTGTCGCCTCTAGCAAGAATTTCTGCCTAGTCAAACTTGAATGTGTGGTTGGGTCCCGTCGAATGAGCTGCGACTCGGGAGTTGGTTTCGTTCCTCCTCACTGCTGCCGCGTGCTCCGCCAATCGCGTCCAGAGTAGTCTTCCGATTTTTCCGACACAGTTGCTTTGCCTACAACTGCACTAGACCCGGTAAACGACGCCAAATGTTTCCTACAGTGTTAAAGAGTCTTTCGGCCTCATGATCTGGCGTCTTGTAATTGCCTCCGGTCTGTATGCAACTCCAATTCCGTAGGGGCGTAAGAAGGCGGCTGACGGCTTTGGAGACATCCTTCACGTACGGGACTGCTCGCCAAAATGTAGGGCCGGTTGGATTTTGTCTCTCGCCTCGTTTACGCAGGCACTGGTTGACGAAGTTGCGTGGGTAGCCAATCACTCTAAGCACCCGCCGAAGGTGTTGTAATTCAACAACTTTGCCTTCAGGTTCACTGCAGTGTGCCTCTACACGCTGGTACAGCGTCCTCATACAACTGCATTTGTGACTGATTGGGTGGTTGCTGTTGTAGCTCAGTACTTGCGCCGTCTTTGTCGCCTTCCTGGCTTAATAATTCCTTACGTGGAATATTAACTACCACCCGTCGCATGCGACTAGCATGACGCAGAAATTGAGTACACTACCTGTGGAAACGCTGCAAAACACAAACGTTTGGACATCAGCCTAACACGACTGTCTTCGACTTAGGTTCGTTAAAAAATCATTTTTTTGTCCGGGACAGATTGAAAACCCAACCAGTATCCCCGAGCAAGTGGATGCCTCAGATAAGTCAGAGTGACAGCTGATAAGGAGGATTGAGGGCTCTTTGTTAAGGAAAGGTTGGCAGCTAACGGCAGGGTTTAGGCCCCCAACTAACTTGGGGTAGCCCGTGGACCGTCAAAGGGGGTTTTGCGGATGGGGCAACCCGCAGGGCGAAAAGCGGGCGGAATGCAGGAAGACACAGAAAATAAACAAATTTCAGTCAAAAGTCTTATTGTCTGCTGTCATATGACAAGGAAAGTGAGCGCGATAATTTCAAAAAATGGGCATGAAGCAATTTTCAAAACGAAGGATTTTCAATAAACCGCCACTGCAAAGTTTATATTTAGTCAGGGAGGCACGGAACTTTCAACCAGTTGGAAGTGTGAATAATAAGTGATGTTTCCGTCACACGGAATTTTAGTGCATATGTTGGAGATGCCAGCTACGTGGGGCCCTTCTGCTACCCTCCCTCCCAATCGATCGGGCTTTGCTCCACAGCTCAGTTGAGAGAGCACCTAATTGAATGTCAGACGCGCAGAAAGGCGACATGAGTAGTTGGAACCGAAAAGCTTTCCGAAAACCGATGGACACCCTTCTTCGATTAGAAATTAAAGAAAACTTAATTTTCTACCAAACGAGCACAAAAATTAGTAGTTTTGTGTATGTTTTCCAGAAAATGGCAACAGTAAGATGTAGGACCCCAAATGAGGTAGCCTGTGCTCCGTGTCATACTTTGAATGGTGCAACTGAGGGGTTTACGAGTAGGAGCACACAAATGGACGGAGAACAGGCCGAATGCAAGAAAACAGAAAATAAATAAATTTCGGCTGAAAATCTCATTGTATGCTGTCATATGGCAAAGGAAGTGAGTGTGATGATTTAAAAAAATGGGCATCAAGCAATGTTCAAAAATTAACGCATTTTGAATAAAGCGCCGCTGACAAGTTTACATTCAATCAGGAAGTCAGGGAAATTTCAACCAATAGGAACAGTAAATAGTAAGTAATGTTTTCGGTCACACGGAACTTTAGTGTACATGCTGGAGTCGCCAACAACGTGGGGTCCTACACGCTACCGTTAGCGGTTAAATGCACAAGCAGGAGTAAGAAGGATTTTTTGGACGATTGATGGCGGCTCACAGTCGCTAGTTTGATTAATTTCCAGCTAATTTCTTCTGCGTAGATATCCTGCAGGTGTCGTCGGCTGATGGCAAAAACACTGCTCACCATTAAATGATTCACTTTCGTATCCTTCAGCCGGTAGTTCCGTTCGATCAGTCTCATTGTTTGTGTGCAGCTCAAATTCAAGTTAGAGTGTAGCGACTAAAATAGCGGGCTCACAATAACCATAAAATTCACCACACTAAGCCTCAGTTGTCAGGGGGAGTCACGAGAATGGGGGCCTTATTCTGTACAAAATGCTAAACAGTTGTCTTGGGAAGTAGTAACTGCTGACAAGGCCTGGACAGAGTTAAGGCCAGCCCGAGAGAGAGGGAGAATTTCTTTGATGCTGATCGCTTTTATGAACTTTTGGGAGCAAGTGTTCAACTGATCTGTTGCGTTACATGATGCGATGTCGCGGACACGTGAGGACGCTCGCGGGTAAGGTGAGTAACCCTCACCTGGTAGAGCATCGCTCAGAAATGACGGCAGTCAGTCCTAGGACTGTCAGAGACGCACACCATCGCTTGCCAAGGTCAGATCTAAGCTCCTTGGGAAATCTGACCTTGACGAACAGCTTTTGTAATTGGGCATTTTCCTGAAAATTCAATCAGTGTTTTTAGCAGTGCCTGGAGAGTTTCTTATAATGTGCCGTTGAAGACCACGTCCAGCTGACGAGAGGTTTATTAGAAAGGAGAAAATTACCCTTCTGACTTTTTGCGAGTCCTGAAAGGTCCGGAGATTCGAAGACCAGTCCAGACGATCCAAATCCCAGGCGTACCACCGACCTACGATTTGTCGTTAGTGATCGGCAGTATTTTAAGCCTCGTGGCATTTACACTATAAGATGTTTTATGACGTTTTCTGTTTTACAGTGGATCGGTGGCTTGGACCTCTAGGCGGACTAGCGATGAGCAGGCAATAATGAACATTTTTATTAACAAAAGGATGATGTTGCGGTTGTGCCATAAACACGAGAATAATGGTAGTGGGGCGCTCACAGATCGCGTCACGGACATATTTGTCCCGTTGCGCCATGAAGTTTCCTTTAGACTCCCGCAAGCAGCCACACAGTAGCTAGTGATATGGGCAAGGGAGACTGGAATGGCAGTTTCTGGCTTATTTTACAACACTGGCCAACCATAGCAGACCCTGAATTGAGCAACACCTGGGGTTCGATCCTGCGACATGTAGGTTAGGAGTACAACGTCCCTAATCATTTAGCAGTGGGTTCACTGTACTGTCGCTTTTGGTCGGGAAAATACAATGATAGAAGGACGCTCACCGACCATGCTATGAAAATCACTCATTCCGTTGCGCCTTAGGAAGAGCGGCGCGTACTGTAGGCAGAATGACATTACCTAGGGTAAGGTGACACCATACTAACAGCACAGGTACTAGCCAAAAGCCCATACACGCGTGTTTCGCCGATGTTTTGCCGCTGCATGGCGCAGCTGCGAGGGGTTCGGCTCGTCAGTGGGTCCGCCAGCATTCCCCGTGTGTTTCCTGGTAGATACTCCAATTTAGAAATTGTCACTTTTTAATTTCCGGAGAAATTTTGTGCGAAGTAGGAGTAGATCAGTATATTCAAGGTCTATAGGCACAGACCGAGAATTTTATACATGAATATTTGGGCCAATGTCCATCAGAATGACATTACCTACAAATGGCCATTTCTGGCTCATTAGGCAACATGAACCAGGTATAGCCAACTCCATGATTTCGCAACACCTGGTGATCGAACTCACGATCTGTTAATATACCCGACC